ACATTGGAGCTGTGTCTGTATGCGGTGACACCGATCGCATGTTCCCACGGCGCCTCCAATGTTGTTATGAGAGGATGTATAGCGTGCTGGTTCAAGCTGGGTCTCGTGCGTGCGACAGATGCCCGTGACGTCTAAACCACGACCAGATGCCACGAGGTTATGGAGCTGGTCTTTCTTACCCATGACGATAGGGGATGAGCCCGTCTTGTGGTGGCCGATGGTGCCGCTGGCTCCATCTCTCAACGTGGTCGAGTCGTGAAAGCTTCCATCAGTTATTGCTATCGCCGAGTCATCGCGAAGGATATTGAATTTCATGACCTCAAGCCGTGCCAGCGGCTGATCCCACATCTGCAGCATCTCTGCATATGCGTAACGGTATCTTGCATAGATACTAGATCGGCTGGAGTCTAGCAGCGGCGTATTCAACCACCCATCGTCATCGAATATTGACTGGTCTGCCTGGACAATATTGACTGAGATGGGAACCAAAGAAAGCAGGTCATCTCGGCGGTAATCCTCGTCCGACAACGAAGTTCTAGCCACGCCTGAATCACCTGACGCATTTGCAGGCCCTTGCGTAGATGTTCCAGAGTTGGCAGTAGTGGGTACAAGACTGCTCATGATGTATTCGGCAGGGCTAGGTCTCTTTTTGCCTTGATTCGGCGGCGATGACGAGGCGCCGCCACCGAATGACTTCGGAAGCGTTGCAGTGAAAGCTGAAGCAAGACCGGTATTCCCTCTCAAAATGCCTCGACTTGTAGGTGATCGCGACATCGGTGGCTGTGGCGTATCGCTGCCACCGAGGAACGCCCTGCCCTTCAGAGGAGGCGTCTCGCCGCAGGAATAGGAGCTGGTTCCTGGGTCACCGCTCCAGAGAAACTCATCAGAGGCGTGAGAGCCAGGATAGTGAACAGGAGTGTGAAGAGTTCCAGGCGTGGTAGCTGCTGAAGTCGTAAGACTCCGGCTGTGAATATTCCACCTCCGCCCTGAGGCGTCCGTGGGGAAATAATCCAGTGAAAAGGACGGTGCCTTCAAAGGCAGCGGCGTTTCTTGTTTTGGGAGATGAGACTCGACATACGCCACGCCATCATCCGTGTACGGCTCATTGAAGACACACGACAGCATGGCCAGCATCTGGATATCAGCGAGTCTCTCGAAATGGTCAAAGAGGTCCATGATGAACTCTTTAGCAAGCGGATGCTGCCCCCATTTGACTCTGCCAACGAGACCACTGTCGTTACTTGATGAGGAGTCAACTTGTGATTTGTTGATTTTGGTATGCTTTGATATGGCGTCTCGAGCAATTACCAAAATCGAAGCTTCATTGTGGTCACGGCCCAAGACCTCCAAAGGGATTCCCTTTGTTAGTAACAGTGCCAAGTAGCGCCATACATCTACTAATTCAGCATTGCCGTATTTCTCCGCAACCCGGGCATTGTGTTCGCAGACGTCAGCACCGTCGCCAAAGATGGCGTATTCTTCGGCAAATTCCCTCTTCGACGGGAGGTCAGCTCGCAAGTCATGAATGGCAATCAAGTTTCGAGGCCGCCCGAATCGTCGGCGACTCGTGCCCGTACCGGTGCCTGTGCCTGCTCCAGTGCCACCGCCACTCGACCTTACGGATCGATCTTCGCTCCAAGTTTTGCGAAGCTGTCTGTTCGAGCTGTACCATAGGTTCATCTTATGCATTGAAGTCGACTCAGAACCGCTCGACGACGACGAGGACATTTCACTGTCAGACTCGTCTGACTGATCGTCCGTGGCAGAGGCCTCATCCATTGCATACCTTTGCTTGGAAGGAAGATCATAAGTAAGACGACCAAAGCCAGCAAAAAACGGCTCTCCTTTGGAACGCTCTTTGTTATAGAACTCCGCAGAGGTAGAGAATAGCGCGCGGGCTTTTTCCTCCTTTGACGGGAAGAAACAAACAAGCCGACCATCTGCAGAAAATCGAGCGCCACAAGTACGGGGCGGGGGTGGAATAATGTTACGATTAGGTAGTGGTGCAAGAGTTGTGTCAGCATCTGCATGAGGCAACTCTTGGGACATTGAAGCAGATCCTCCAGCAGGGATATACTCGTCTTCTTCGCTAGAGCTCTCGTCCGCAAGGCCGTCGAGATCATCGTCCAAGTCTCGGACATTCTTAAAGAACGTAGTACTTGACTCTAAATCGACTTCGCCAAGCAGGTAGGTAAATGTGACTTCTAGACAGTTTTGCTTCCGTTGCAAAAACTGTTGGGCGAGTTGATGTATTTCCCGCATAATCTTCTTGTGTGTGTCTTCCGGCATAAAGGACGTCTTTTCGATGTAGAAAGTCGGTGCCTTGAGCTTGGGATATTCCGCAGGAATGTCGATTTTCACTTTGACAAAGATGGGCTCCCCATCGACGCCCCAGGGTCCCGTCAGAGACGCATTCAACGTCAAGTTGTCCATGTCTATGTTTTCCCACTTGACCTTGGGGATCTGCGTACTGATACGGAGAAGCTCTTCTTGAATTGTGTCAGGCTGGCCCCATTCATCATCTGGGTAGTGGTGGTGGCTGAGAATTCCGTGGTCTTTGGAGGCATGTCGCCTGTAACCGTCAGTCGAGGCTTTCCGCTTAGTCATGGTAATGCCCTTCATCCACCCAAGTTGAGCTTGGCTCCTGTCCACATGTTGACTCGAGTCAATCTTGGCTTTCATCGATGGGCCCCTCCATGCTGGTCGAAGATTCCGGTTCAGGCCAGACCGCCCACCAGATGGGGTTCCCCCCTGCTTGTATTGTGCAAGACCGGTGCTGGCTCTGTGGTCGCTCATTGTGCCGGCCCTGCGGTCACGGCTCGCACTGTCATCGATAGTACGGAAGGTCTTATATGCTGCACCTTGCCTTGTAAGGTTAAGACCCTTCCTTGCCGGGCCGTCTTTGACATGACCAACAGCCGCGAATATGTTGGCGTCAACGCAGTGTAGCCTTAACTCATTATCCGTGCCCCATGATACCAGCTGAAACTCACGATGGTCAATATTATCATCGGATATGCCTCCTCGAGATCTCCATAGAAATTCCTTGGCTTTGTGATCACCATGACCCGGAAACACGGCGACAGGGTTCGGGGCAACCTCTACTGGGGAGTCTTCCCGCCATAGTCTGTCGTACAGGTACAAATCGCCGGGCTCATTCTGAGGCATGGCCAGTAAACCCCATCCGAATGGTGTATGGCGAGCTCTCCAGACGGGGAAGTCGGTGCGGATGACATGTTCCAGCTCGTCGTCGTCCTTGCCGTAGTCCCAGAACCTGATTGTCTTGTCCAGGGAACAAGTTACGATGCCAGTGCTTCGGGTGCGGTTCCAGTCAATTCCGTATATCTTGGATGTGTGTGCGCTGATGGACTTGACAGGCTCGGAAGCTTTTCGGTCGTCCCAAATATGTAAGAAGCGGTCATGAGCCGAGGCAAGAATGTGAGGATCTTGGCGATTGAATTTAACTTGAGTCGCACCCGCAAACCAATCACAGAAGGTAAGAACCGGTTGTCTAGGCCGCCGCAGATCCCACCAATGGACATAGCCGTCAACAGAACAGGTGGCGAGCATATCAGGGTGATGGGCCGAGAAGTTGACATCAGTAATCGCGCGGCTATGTCCATGGAGCGAGTGCTCTATGGCTCCCGTATTAGAATCCTCTCTCAGGTTGAGATTCCATACCAGTGCGCGATGGTTCGCTGTGGACACGACCCAATAGTCTCGAGCTGCAAAAGGCGACCACTGAACATCGCAAACCAGCCACGGAAGTCCATGACTTCTCAGTCGCCGCGGTGGGTTGTATGGAGAGTCCAAGTCAATGATAGCCAGCCCCTCTGGTCTACGTAGACACTGTTAGTCTTATCCAAGATGCAATGCGAGTCGTTGAGGTTCGCGAAAACGTACGATGCAAGAGCAATATCGCGACCGGATGGAGAGATTGTTGCAGACCCAACGAGTCCTTCCACATGAATGGAGCCGTCTGATTCGAAGCTCTCGCTGTCATACGCCGATTTGATGATTCTACCCTTTTTAGGCGACTCAGGCCGCTGGGGAAATGATGGCATTATGACTGCATGTCTTTTGCGACAGACCCTACCATAGAGGTCATGTCGTGGCTCACAGGAGGCACGCCGGTGCGGTGACGGGGAAGTGCGATATCGTGATGCCCATCAAGCTCGGGGGCCGTACTTGGCAAGTTCACGGCAGCATGCGGAGCGCTGGACCAGCGCTTAGATTCGAAGACGCTGTGGACGTTAGAAGCGTCCCGTGGCGCGCGCACGAAGCGATGTCGTTGAAGCTGGAGCTCAGAGATTGGGAATTGCTGGCATTCTCAGTCTACTTGGTGCTACGCTACAATGGGCAGGGAGATGCAGCTTGGGGTCATGAGATCAGGTATCCCTCCGCAGTTGTGTCGCGGGGAGGTACAGCCGTTGATCCGCTCCAGCCGCTAGCCCACCAACCGCCCAGGAGGATCAGCGGTGAATTGATGATGCTAGTGGCCGGCGGGCGCGGTATTCGCCAACGTTGTGAAAGGTGTCAATTTGCCGAGGATTTGGCAAATCTGGCAGTCGAGAAATGGCAAGTGATCTCTTCTGAGACACCAGAAACTGTTTCATTGACCAGGCCGATACCCAACCCTCCTCGCCTTGCTCTATGCAGCCCTGCGACCATTTCTGACGTGGTGACCTTTGTTTGGCGACCTAGCAATGACCGACCAGTTGACATCTGGACAAGATCGGCCGCTGAAAGCCCCTCCTCGTCACTACCAAGGTTACCACCACGCACCAGTGCCCAAGTCCTCCGGTTATTGACTGTCGCATGCCCCGCCCCCATGTCTGTCTCTTCTTGTCGTGAACTCTTCAACTTCCGTATAACCTCTACGGCGAGACCGGGAGACCTCTTGACTGAATAGACTTCGCCTTTCCTGCTCTTTTGTACCTTGATTACCTATTTATTTTGACCATAGCCCGTCTGAAACTCGCTTCGACCCAACAGTCAAGATGGCTCTTCCCAAGCGCATCGTCAAAGAGACGGAACGTCTCATGGCAGAGCCGTACGCTACCCTCCTCTCGGCCAAGCCTACGGAATCCTTGACGTGAACACGATACTGGATATCTATTAACAATGCATCTTCTCATGTAGTGTCCCTGGAATTAGCGCCGTCCCCCACGAGGATAATCTGCGCTATTTCGATGTCGAGATCCACGGCCCAACCCAGTCACCATACGAAGGTGCGCAAATTCCGCCGTCTCCTCATTCGCATGCGCAAATCCGTGCTAAAACAAACATATGTGCAGGCGGCATCTTCAAGCTCGAGCTCTTCCTCCCTGACGACTACCCCATGACTCCCCCCAAGATCCGCTTCCTCACCAAGATCTTCCACCCCAATGTTGACAAGCTGGGCCGTATCTGCCTGGATGTCCTGAAGAGTGCGTCTCCCACTCCCTCCTCCCTCCTCTCCGGAAGTGACTGCTAACAAGACCTAATCAGATAATTGGTCTCCTGCTTTACAAATCCGAACGATCCTCCTCTCCATCCAGGCCTTGCTCGGCGCACCGAACCCCGACGACCCTCTCGCCGCAGACGTAGCTAAGAGCTGGAAAGAAGACGAACAGGCAGCAATTGCGACGGCCAGGGAGTGGACCAAGAAGTATGCACAGCCATAGGAGGGTGCTTTCCAAACAGGAGTAACCAAGCGAACAAGTAAGATTTCGAAGGGAAGGTCGGGCTTTCCAGATTCAGCGGCATCGAGGCAAAAATGAGATATGAGCATTTTTGGAGGAGTTTGACGGATTTAATTTTTGTGTTCCCAGTCTACGATGTATTGTTTGCAAGACTTGCTATGGTTGTTTTTTAGAGTTCCAAGAGACTTTGGTTGGGTTGGTGTATGACGGCTAACCTTCCACGGTATGAAATTAGACAATCCGGCAGTATGTGCGGATAATTATAACGCGTTGAGTCTTTTACTCTTTTTCTGTCGTCCCCCTCCTAATATATGATATCAAAACGAGACTCTTCATTCTACTACCACGAATAATATATGCTGATGGCTAGTCTACTGCCTCGTGATGTTTCCTTACTAATATGTAGCTCTGAAGACTTCGTCAGAGGTTGGAGAATCAACACTGTGATACCGACTTGTCGGTTTCCAACACTCTAACAGTCACGGAGCATGCTCAACATTTTGATTCAAAGAGTGGCCAGTGGCAACACTCTGCCAGACACTGTTTGATTCGGGGCTTCCAAGTGTGCAAAGCTAAAACATCACGATCCCACGGTGGAAATATAGGCTTAGATGAGAATTAGCAGAGACTGGACTCTGCCTCTTTGAGTATATTGTATCTACAATGCTAGAGTACACAAAGGGAATAATTCGGGTTGTAGCGTGAAACGCAGATCTATTACACCAGCGCGAGGTCGCCGAACTTCTCCTACAGTGGGCATTAGCAATCTGATCACGCGTGGTAATCTTCCGCTATCAAAACATACCTTGTATCCAGGCACCATCCATCTGCCCTTGGAAATGAGCTGGGTGGTCTTCTCGTCGATGGACTTCTCGGCGGCAGCAACTTCGTCCTACAGAATTCAGCGTTCTTGTTCACACAGCTTGGCATCGAGATACGTACGACAGTGAGGTCCTCGAAGGGACGGGCCTCCTCAATGTTCTTCAAAGTGGCAGCGAGATCCTTGAGCTCGAGATCAACAGCCTGCTTGGTGGCCTCGGCGTTCTTGATGGCCTCAACCTCGAAGGCGTCAATGGCCTTGAGCTGGCGGCTGACGTCGTAGGTGACGGGCTTGAAGGCTTTGAAGCGCTTCTCAATCTCGTCGACGATGGCCTGATTCTTGAGGGTAGATCGGTAGGCGGCAAAGTCGACCGTCGTAGGCTGCTCGGACAGCTGCTGAACCTTGCGGCGAGCGTCTTCGTTTCTCTTCTTGAAGGCCTGGAGGGAGGCGACTGTCTGACCGCGAAGGCCCAGCGAGCTGGTGACCTTTACCCAGTCGATCTTGAGAGCTGCGCTTCGCTGTTCCGGGGGAAAGAGTGAAAATTAGCTCATGATTTGGGAATGGAACCGGGTGCGCGACTCGGAGGAAGGGCGTCGGGAATAGATTCGACAATGCGTTCCGTCTAGCCCAATTGATCATCTCGACTTACCGTGGCCGCCATTTTGCTTATGTTTCGGGGGGTGTCTCTTGGAGCGGAGAGCGAGTGTGGTGATGCTAATGATTTGCCGTGCCGAACTGGTCCGACCAGGATTGCTGGCGGTTTAGTCACGTGATGCTCTTCGTGACTAACGGTTCGCGGTCCAGTTAGCCGGTTCAGTGAGGGATTGGACAACACATTGCGTAGCAGTGTTAATGAATTTAGCATTTCTGGTTTAGTTGCTGGAGACAGTAGCAACGCATAGCTCAGTCTAAGTTTGTTCAATGATGAAAGTTGGCCATTGGAGTTCTTTTTTTTTCGCCATCGATCTGTACGATCTGTACGCTACTCACGCAACAACGCAACATCAAATATGAGCCATTTCACAAGACCAAACCAATTAGAATCATTTGGAACCAAATCCAGTGATGCTATTTTCAAACCCATCAGTGGTATCTGACATTTCTTGTCGAAATGATAGCAGCGGCTGCCAAAAACTAATACAAGGCCACTCCTACACGCACTGTGCAAGAGATGGTTGACGAGAAGTTCATTTGTAGACCGCTCGCTCCCAAATAATTTTTCCCCTTAGATACTCAAGGCCATGATGGAGTTGACAATATCATTGTCATTCTCTTTCAGGGCCTTTATGGCCTTCTTGCGACTGACGTTGGCCTGGGTCATGACAAGCTCAATATCCTTATCCTCAAGACCTTCAGCATCGACCTCCTCACCATCGTCGTCGTCGTCGTCCTTCTTAGCCTCGCCGGATTCAGCAGCCTTGCTGGGCTCACCGTGGTTGTGGCCAGCGTGCTCGGCCTCGGCATTAGCGGCGGCCATCTGAGCAGCAGCGGCCTGCTGAGCGGTGGCATTGACATCCTCGATCTTAGCCTCGCCGAAAACACTGCATGATATAAACCATTAGATTCCTCATTCATTCACCGACGTTTTCGACATCGAGATACTGACATGTAGGTGTTGCTGTTGGGGGACTTGTAAACCTCGGGGTTGTTGATGACAAAGAGGATCTGGATATCTCGAGTCAGTTTTTGATGCACACCATATCAGATATACCTGTCCGTATACTAGCGTCTATAAAGAGTCTGCGTCTAACATACGTTCTTGGGGCGTCGGAGAGTGACACGGGTGATACCAGGGACACGGGTAAGATGCAGCTTCTCAATAGCCTTGCGAGCCTTCTTCTCGTTGCGGTTGTGGATTACAGCGGTAGAGCCAGCGGGCAGGTTGGCCTCACCATCCTCAGCATCGGACTCGTCGCTGCTGTCCTCCTGCTCCTCAACGGTAGGTCGCTGAGTCTCCTCGTCGGGGAGCTCCTCGATTCTGGGGTTGGCCATTTTGGATACTGCTGGGACACATGACCATTAGCTTTCGACTCGCATTTCCTCGTCGCATTAAAATCGACAAAAGTACACTCCGGCGGCCAAATTCAGTGGCGAAAATTCCCGCAACATGCGACCGTAATTGGGCACTTACTGATGTGCTGAGCCCGAATTATCTTTTTCCGGCCTGAACGGTGATTCTCCTTGGGCTGTTTGTGCTAGAGAACAGCAGTACCGCGAAATTCTAGGGTTTGGTGGGCAACTGGCGCTAAACCAGATTAGGTAATCACGCATTTTCCGATTCTCACTCCTCCAGTGACATGACCGAGAGGGGCGAGCAAAGCATATGTTATCGTCACCGGCGGCAAACACAGGCACTTGGGAGTCAAATTACAAAAAAAGTAGGAATACTAACTGCTAAAATGTCACGCTCAGAGCCATCAAGATTTTCGTCATACATATCACAAACATGTTTCAAGTTGTGCTACCGCCCAATGCGTTGAATTCATTTTAATTCTGAATTTCCGTGTTGACGCCGCTCATCATTAAGATGAAATGTGACATACAGCCCCTCCAGAACGGGAGTTAAAAAAATGGATGGCAGCAGATTCTTTCTGTTGCTCCAATGTTGCTTTTTCCTGTCCGGGTCCATGCATCTCTTTCTAATGCCAGCTCCCAATTGTTCCAAAGCACCTCCTCGACTCCAACCAAAACTTTCAACCAGACATTTATGCGGAGGCCTTGACCTTGGCCAGAGCCTTGCGCTCCTCAAATCGTCGCTGCTTCTTGAGTCGCAAAACCTTGAAGCGGTCGAAGTCGGTCAGGTTCTTCCTCCGCTGGATCTGCTCGCGCTTCTTGGCCCAGTTGCTCTCCTTCCACTTGGCGTCGATCTCGTTCTTCTCCCAAAGCTTCTTGACGGCACCATGTCGGGAGCCACGGATGAGGCCTTCAACGACGAACTGGGAGAGCAGGCACTTGGACAGGGGAACGGCCTGTCGGGGGACAGCCAGAGTAGGGTCGGCGGAGGGGCCGTCGACGAGAACCTGCAGTTACACAATTAATCCTCCATCCAGGATCGCTCGACTTCGTTTGACTCTGAAAACGTACTCGCTTGTGGTCGATGATCTCGACGATGGCGGCAAGTCTGCCAGCGAAGGGGTGGTCTCCGTTGATGGCGACAACGCGGCCAACCTCAACGAGGCGCCAGTTGGATCCCTCAATCACTGCTTCGCCCATTGTGACAGGTGTTCTATTGGCTCTTAGTCAGTCGCGAGGTCGATTTAGATGTCTTCAGATATCTAGATTCAACTGCAAGGAGGCGCGGTGTTGTTCATACCAATAGTCGAAGTCGGGTTGCCGTTCGAAAGGTGGATGGATTCTGTGACTTCTCACACCGTGGAGTCGCCAATGACTTTTTTGATCACTCGGCTATTAGGGTGGTGTGCGGGTGGAAATTCGACCTGTGCCCTAAGCAAAATTTTCGGATTTTCAGTTTTTGCCGCGCCGCACCCAGGCCCACTGATTTGGTGCACGGACCACTTCCTTCGACTTTTGTCCGAACTTTTTTTTGCTCACACCAATGTTCTCCCTATGTCCTATGTCTCCAACATTCTAAAAATTTATTCAGCTTCAGGACGCTGATGATGTACAAAACCTTTACTGATTGCTCTGGTCGCGATCAAGGTAAGTCTGCCCTAATCACTTTTCTTCTGTCACTGTCACCTGCACTTCTCTATGATGAGGTAATTTGCGATTGATTCTATTCGGTGGCTCTCTTCGCCAGAGTGGCTATACTGTTTAGACAAATGATATTCAATTCTTACATATTCTGAATTTGTGTCTTGTCCCGCCCGCATTGCATTTATTTCCACTGTTTTTCTCGAATTGCAGTTATGCTAACAGGGTCCCTCATCTAGCCATTATGGTTACCTCCGACAGCCCAAAAATCAAATACGACCCGTCGCTGCCATCATGGCCCTGAATGCTCCCCGTACAAACATGCATTCGGGGCGCGCCCTAGATTGTCGCAGCATAATACTCGCCACGCCTTGTGACAGGCCATACCACTTTACATGTCCTTTTTTTTCACACCTGTGTGCGCCTGTCATATCGTAGAGCTCCTCGCAGCCAAAGCCTTATTTCCCTTGCTTTTCTTTTATTCTTTGCGCGTCCTCTGCGGCTAACTCTGCATCAATCTTTGCTCCTTTGGAAGGCTCATTGCCGTGCATCTTGGCCTACAATTGACCAGTTAATGACCCTACCAGATGGTTTCTAGCTTCGTCAGACTTACAGGCAAGGTCGGGTCTTTCTTGGACATAGCTGTCTCAAAGTCGTCGCTGTCTCCCTGCTTTCTACTCTTCTGCATGGTAGTTAGCAAGGGGTAACAATACTTGACATGACATGATGTACTCACCTCCTCGGCAGCTAGTCGGTTGGAGATTGTCCTCTCATCTTCTAGGAGTATCATTAGATCAACCATTGATATTTGAGTTGAATACACATACTCGAATCGGTCAGTGAGTGCGATCCCGGTCGGCCTTCCTCGAACCTCTCGGCGGTATTTCTTTCCGACGCCTTTACATTCCGCTGATCTCCATCTTCGTAGACGGCAGAGGTTCCAACATTGGAGTAATATGACATGATCGTTATATGAGGATATGTGTGATATGTTTGTAGACAAGTGGGATCATGAATACGTTGTACCATTGCCTGTAACTGGGCAGTATTTAAGCCTTTCGGATTCTGCAGATCGCTGGCGGCGGAGCCGGAGCCCAAGCTCCGCGAGCTACTTCATCGACGACGTCATCCATTCATTGCTGTCATCCATCCTGCTGCATATCGCTGTACATTCTCTCATGGTCACGTCATATGTGGATTGACTTCGAAGCACGTATTAACATCCCGTTAAAGGGGTTGAATGATGACGATGCCAACCGCTGAGGCTTGAGAAAAGAGCGTGGCTGGCAGCTAGGAGGTAATGGGAATGGACCCATAACAGCTCCCAGGGCCTTCTGAGACGAGAGCGAGTCACTTCCAAGCTTCACTGTCTCAACATCACTTCTTGGTGTATCACCTCTCTCGAGCCGAAAACAAGGGCCACTGAAAGATCCCATAAGGAATAGACAATATAAAAGCCGGGGATTCCGACAATAAACTCGATTGACTTGTTCATTATGGCTCAAGAACGGCAAGTACCAGATGAAAAGTTGAACCAGCCAACGGAAGCTGCAGCTCAAAGCGCTGCTCCCGGCCAGAACGGAACAACATTAAGTAACCAATAAAGGAACCCTCGTAACCATGTGCTGTCTGGTTTGACATGTTGCTAAGAATGGCATGTCGAACCCTTTGTTCATGCCTATTTATGGGGCGCTTGAGCGCCATGTAGTCTTAACGGCTGGATTTTGCAGCCGGGAAATAACCTCATCTCCTTCCTAGTGGGTCTCTGGTCTTAGAATTCAGACGAGCTTAGGGGCAACACGCTTTGTGGCAACCGCGCCAACTCAACAGCTTCTCTCCCCGAGTTTGAGAATGTTGTCGGGGCTTGGCCTGTGATGGTGTTTTTATAATCACCCCGAACCTACTTTTTCAATCCTTTCCCTAAAATTACAGGCGGACAGGCGACGAAACGAGACAAGTGCTTGGTAGTCCACAAGCAAATTTCTCCTTTCTTTTTTTTCTCTTTTTTCCTTTTTTTTTTTTTACATCTCACCTCTGCATCATGGAGAAGTATATCGTTTTCGACAAAGCTTTGACCAAGGCCGACCACGTCGTTCTCCAGAGCTTAGCCAGGGATATTAAAACGGCCAGCTTGGTAACGTCTAGAAAATTCAAGAGACACGATTCCGACTGCGACTCTGGCATAGGATCTGAGGAGAGCTCTTCTAGTGGGGACGAAGCCAAGGCATTTGCCCTCCAAGATGATGGCGCCAAAGACAATGACATCGCCGCACTCAAGGCGTCAAGGAATCCTAAAAGCGCTGCATTCGAACCCACCATTGTCCTGTCAGTCGATGATTGTGACGCCCATCTTCACCCGTTACTCAACAAATACTTGCTGCAGCCATATATCCAGCTGGCTCGGGGGATTGTTCGCCATGAGACAGATGTAGCTATGCTGACACACCTCATCATCTACTTCACCACGTCGGTCCCTAGTGCACTGGTTCTCTTTCGACATTTCACCTACACACACGCCGTGCTCCATTTCGTTATGCAAATGTATTATGTGGGAACCTATACTTTGATGCAACACCAACATATTCACCAACGGGGCATATTGGCCAAGACTTATGGCCTCTTTGACAGAGCCTTTCCTTACATTCTTGACCCGCTCATGGGCCATACATGGAATACCTACTACTATCACCACGTGAAACACCACCATGTGGAGGGCAACGGACCAGATGACCTGTCGTCGACTATCCGATACCAGCGTGACAGCGTCCCGGACTTTCTTCACTACGTTGGACGGTTCTTCTTCCTCGTGTGGTTGGATCTGCCCTTGTACTTTTTAGGCAAGAATCGACCCGCCTTGGCGTTCAAGGCAGCCGGTTCCGAGTTCGCGACCTACGCGTATTACTACTTCATGTCCCGCGTTGTGGGCACCAGGGCAACCCTTTTCGTGTACATTCTTCCCCTTCTCATGTTGAGAATGGGTTTAATGGTTGGAAACTGGGGTCAGCATGCGTTTGTGGACAGTGATGAGCCGGATTCCGACTTCCGGTCTAGCATCACCGTGGTTGATGTTGCAGTAAGCCTCTCCAGAATTCATGCCCCGGCCCATAATAGAAAGAGACAGAAAAAAAACTAACGAGGGACAGAGTAACCGATTCTGCTTCAATGATGGTTATCACACATCACACCACCTCAATCCGCTACGCCACTGGCGAGACCACCCTATCTCATTCCTTGAACAGAAACACACATATGCAAAAGAAGGCGCCCTCGTGTTTCATAACATTGACTTCCTCATGATTACCTTCCGTTTGTTGTGCAAGGATTACGAACATCTTGCCAAGTGTCTCGTGCCGATGGGAGACCAGCTCAATCTCACAATGGATGGCCGGATGAAGCTACTAAAAAGGCTGACGAGGAAGTTCACAGAGGAGGAAATCACAGAAAAATTTCGAAAGGTTCAGTGAAGTCATTGCTCACAGCGAGTAGCACGTTTGTCAGTCATTAGGCACGGGGTGGAGATTGATTGCCGCCAATTACGGACAGGAATTGCATCGGTTGAATAACTGAGATACCCTATAGAATACATACACAAACTCGCATATTCGTACATATGTACGCATGCATATGAGAATCAATCAATGCTTAATATTTGCATCAATTGGACGATTTGGACAAATCTCGTAGCGGGTCCGGCCGTCTTATTAGTACCCCGAACATGATTTGGCGTCAATAGCTTGCTTTTACCTTGACCAATGTTGAAGCTTCTTGACAGATGCCAAATGGACAAAAGACCCACATAAAGCTAGTTGCGCGACAACGCGCAACAGCTCCGCCAACGAGACCAGGCAGGAAGGAACCAAGCTCCAGCCGGTTTGGCCCGTTCGTCAATCTTCCGTATCCAAACGTTGTGCTCCGACCACTCGATTTCTCAGTTGCAAATTTCTCCAAAGACGCAGACACACGGTTTCAACATGTTTCGATTTGTAAGGATACTTCATTTTCGCCCGACCCGAGTCCGAGCTGCGGGGGCTAACTCATTGCACAGCACAAGTCGCTCGACATTGTCACCGTCTTCCACAAGGCCAGCTCCCCAGCTTCCACCAGAGTTGCCAACCTGGTCAAGCAGATCTCGGCCAATGCCCAGGCTGGAGCTACTATTGACCAGGCCAGCGACCATACCGCGCAGACGCAACTGAGCCGAGACCCATTCGAGCTCAACATCACCGAGGAGCCTCCCACTGTTGAGCAGGTCCAGACAATCCTCGACTACGTTGGCAAGACCAGCATACCCAAGGTTATCAAGGGAGCTCACGATGAGAAGGATGCGCTGAAGAAGTTCCGAGAGAGCAAGGAGAGCTTCTTGCGACCGGTGGTAAGTAGAGTCACAGTGCTTTGAGCCGCGACCGAGGGTCACAGCTGGTCCGTGACACAAGCTGATGCATTGTATAGACTGTGGACTGGAACAATGGAAAGGCCATTGCCGGCGATAATGAGAGCGAGATTCTGAAGATGCTGAAGACGCAGAAGTCAGAGTGAAAAAGGCCCTCGTGAAGACGAAAACCATGGAAAATGACCCGCACTTGTACATACATTCTATGCTCGCCAACTGCGACTCCCGTTTTGTAACAATCAAAGTCGTGATTTGTCAAGGAATTTTTTCTCCAAGTGCTGCTGATCAGTTGAACAGTCGAGTTTGTTGAACTGGGGGTGCTCATCTGTGAATTTGAATCTTGAACTATATCTGCACAGCTAAAAGACGGAATCAACAGCGGCATGCGCACGACGTCAAAGCGCTGCAATGTTTCTTCTGCAACACGATTTGAACACCAACATTGGGCCTACAACTTTCTCGACCACCTACGGTAGGCGAGATTCACTGTGCTCTGTTTGTTAGTGGACTCTAGTCAAACACGCGGACCACTCCGACCCGCGCTTCTTTCAGATGCTGTTCACTTTCACTTGACTGCCCGTTGGCGGACTCTGCATTTTCTCAAAAGTGAAAATGAACAATAGAGGAACATGTCTTTTCCCTCAACTGAACAGAGTTGGTTCTTGGAAGACACCTTATCCCCTTCTTTGCTTCGGGTGCCAACTCACTCTCCTTGAGCATCTGCCAAATCTTATACCTCCTCCTGTACTTCCCGGTTGCATTACTCTCCAAGATACATCTTCAACGCATCGCATCGTCAAAACAGCCTATTGCAACTTCGCTAAAGCAATCTTTACTTTTTTTTTTCTGGTAAAAAAAAAAGAAGAAAACAGAAAACCTTCTCAACCTCTTCCCTTGAAGAGTCTGCGTGGTCTCCTCCTGACTCTTATAGTTTTGTATAACCATCGACATGACAGACTCTGTTCCTGAGCACCCTGACCTGCCGCATCCTCCTGAGGATATGGCCAACGTGAAAGGAATCCCGGCCGACGCCGTTCCTAATGATCTACCGGCCACGAACGGGACGGCACTCGAAACCGGTTCCGCGGGTGTGCCCTACCCAATCATTGGCGGTGACGGCCCTGATGAAGGCTTTTACATCAAATACCCGGCTGGTGCTCCTGCAAAGTTCTCAACCGATCATGGGGTCAGAGCTTTTCGTACAGTGGATGTGGAAAAATTCGCGGTCGAACACACAAATCCTCGTTGGCTCCCGGGCAAGGTCCAAGAGTATTGCAACTCCATTCGCAAGAAGCATGGGGAGTGCTGCATGAAGGACCTGAAAAGGCTAAACAACTGGACCGATCTGTATGAGTACTACGACGCTCACGATATATATCATATAGGTCACCACAATCTGTTGGATGTCCTTCGTCACTTGGTTACCGAAAACGAGGAATTAGACAAACAATATCCAGCGAAATTTGCAGGAATTATCGACTCATGGATTTATATGTGGCTTAGCCGCAACAACAATAAGATGAGGCTCAAGAGCTGGACTACAGCAGACGGCGACATTACGTGCCTATTCTCCAAAGTCGATTTTGACGACCTGTATGGTATCAAGGACGACCACATGATTGCGCTTGTGCTTGCTCTTATGAAGAAACGGGAAGAGCTGGTGTTGGAAAGCCGTGACGAAGGGCGAATCGTGAATGGTGCTGGGTTTGCTTCGGCAAACATATATTTTGAGAACCCACAACGTATGTTAACATGACTCTCCCGCTCTTTTCTTTTTCTTTACTAATAACAGGGAACCATAGTCGGTGGGCATTGGTTTGATTCTTATGGACAGTGTATTAACCCCCCTCCGTGTTTCCCGGGAGTCCAGGCACCATGCAATGTGGACAACGAGCAATTTCACTCTTGCAGTGCAGTGTCTGGACAGCCTTTCTATCCTCAGGCGAGATGTCCAAGTGCAAGTGCTGTTAAAGATTTGCGGCGGACAACTGCTGCGGCGACGCCGAATTGTCCACGTGCCATTGCGAATAGTACTTCGCAGTCTCGACGGATCAGTCCAGTCAAGCAGCAAGCCACAACTTCGACGACGACGAATGCGGTACCGCCCAATCACCACAACCAGCCTCATCGTTCTGTGAATACTGAGAACGACGTCGGACCAGCTGTGGTGGCACAGACCCAAGCTTCTCCTTCTCCTGGTGCTCGAAAGGATCGACCTGTTCAACATGTCACGACAAACGGGAAAAGTCCCCTCACACAAGCTCAGCCATCTAGCTTGAAAAGCCTTGGACGAAATCATGCGAAACAGTCTGGTACTATCGCTCCCAAGGCGGCGAAACCTGTGCCGACTCAGCCTCGGGGGTTCATGATGGTCGGTGTACAGCCTGCTTCCAAGGGAGGCAACACCGTGCCGTCTCGGGCGCACCCGCAGAATGGCAATGGGAAGCCGGTTGGCAGACAGATCCCCGAGAAGATGGGCCAGACAAGTCCTCCAATGTCTCACAGCGGACCTCCAACACAATCTCCGCAGACCAGGAGGAACCAGGGAGGTCTCGCAAGAAATGCTTGTGTCGAGCTGCCTCCCAAGCCGCGGTCCGACGGGCGCCGCGCAGTGTCGTTTGGCGATGCGTCTTTCGTTGACAGCACGACCTATGGCAATGGAAGTTCCATGCTGGGTAATGGTAGCTACAGGTGTGACTCTGTACACGCTGCCATGTTTGACGGAGCTTTCCAAACACAACTTTCGCATCAATTGCCCGCAGCCGCACCGGGCTGTAACCCGTCTCCGGCTGGGACAACATCTACCCATCGGGGTGGCAGCTACACTCGAGGAGGCTACAGGCACAAAGGGCGACGAGGGCCCCAGAACTATGAGCCTCACGCTGAATATCCTGTCCAAGCTGGCAGGGGGTCGTTCTATTCCCAAACTTCCCATCAGGTTGACACTGCACAAGGATCGTACCGCAGCAATACGCGTCATTACTACAACCGCAATCCTGATCACGAAAATGAACGCCGTGAACAGGTTTCTAGAAGAAGTGTTTGGGCACAAATTAAAGAGCGGCCTCCCGGGCATTCCCAGGATATCAAGAGCCGTTTAAAGAGTGCAATGGATCGCCAATTTGGGATAGTTGAAGACGCCTTCCCTACTTTTCAGAAAAATGGTGAAGCCTTCATAGTTCGGTGAGTCTGCTTCAAGCATGTGTCAAGATCAAACAATTTTTGTTTCAACTAACACTTTTTGCCACAGATTTAAAGACGAAGCTTCTGCGCTAAAAAGCTTGCAATCCGGATCTTTAAAAAACGGAGTGCAGGGTCTCGAGGTCGAGATCCGGCCGGTGCATAGCAGGAAACAGATGAAAGATCAGTACGTCAATAGGGGAGGGCCTGGCAACCAGCAGTGTCAGCCATACCATAACGAGACTCATTTTCCTATGGGTTACGGGATGCCTTCTCCGACTTGTGGCCCGCATGTTTATTACGCCCGTGGTCTACACAACCTACCGCAAGCTAATCAAATGACAATGACGCATGTGCCGCATAGCCTGCATCGGAATTTTCCTGGGATTGGGCCCTACAAGCAAGGAATTCAAGCCCATGTTTTCGGGTCATCTTTCCCTCAACCAATGATGCCACAGCAAGCGCCTCCCCAGAGCTCCCAGGAGTACCAAATCCCCAAGCAGGAGGCTAGCAAAGCCATCCCAAGACAGGAAGAGGAGAAGAGGACGAAGTCAGCAGCCGATCGAGAGACAGCAAAGTCATCGGATTGGAAGGCTCAGTCAAAACCGCTTTCCGAGGAGGCCTTGGAGAATGACGATCCTTTTGAGAAGGATGGGGCTACAACTCCCACCAGCCAAGGAAGCAAATCTTCCCAGATTTCAAACCGGAAAGTGAGGGTGTCACTTCCATCAGTCTCACCACCCAGGCTTGCCCAGTCCAAGGCACCTAAAAGTGAGAAGCCGATAAAAGAGCCAGGCAAATCACCAGTGGGTCAAGAGCCGCCTCCGAAATTAACAAATAGCCCAGGTAATGTCATTACACAGGCCCAGCCTTCTCATACTCGACAAGTGCCTGATGATACATTATATGGAGTGCCTCTTGCGAGTGGGAAGGGATCCGAAACCTTGGCTACTACCACAACATCAGTGACTGGCACACGCAGCAACTTCACTGAAGAAAAGATTAGACAGCGGCAAGCGTATTCGAATATGATTGCGATGCCCTTGAGTCCGCGCAATATCAAGAAGGCGGCATCCACGGAGAGCAATCCTGGCAACGCCATTAGGGACAAAGCTGCATCTTCTGAGCCTCTGCCTTCTGATACCACCTGCCATGTACCTAGGCCGGCTCAACACATACCCGATGCCGAAAGTTTCAGCGTCAAGTCTGACGAGTCCAAAACTATGTCGGCCTCTAGCTCACCAAGCAACCGTTCACCATCTAGTAACCCTAATAAGACGCCTGACAATAGGAATACCGCTAGTCCGCACTCCAGGCATCACAGTAAGGTCTCCAAGACGCCTACGAGTCCGATCAATAAAAACGCAGAAGCCAACAAAAACCAGAAACCGACCTCTCAAGAAGAGGACGTGGTCGAAAGAGGCTCTTGTCTATCAAGTCGTGCAGACCAGGACTCGTCCAAGTTTCCTGGCAATGGACGAGAAACGATACGAGTGAGGAAAGTAGAAAAGGGAGAAACAGCGTCTAACGAAGGCTCCGTCCAGGAGAGAGGCACGGCTTCAAGGAAGAGAGGTTGGAAGACTCGACCAGCGTCGCGAAGCATTGGTTTCATCGATCAGAACCAGCAGCAAGAGAGCCAGCCCCGGGTCGAGGTGACTTCAGCAACTGACTCGGCGACCAGGAACGAAGCAAGCGCTTCTACTACCAGAACTCCCCGGATTACCTCACCGGCAAGTGTGGGGGGAAGTAACAATGTTAATCTGCGGAATGCTTCTAGTGACAGAGATAACGGGGGAGGGAGTGGCTGGCAGAAGGTCCGCAGTAGAAGGAGGGCTTCTAAGAGAACAAACACCCCCGGATCAAGCGACCATCAAGGTTAGCAACCAGACATGTCAGCTGGAGGAACATATGCTGCCTCTCCCACTGCAGTAACTACCGCCAACGATTCAACAAGCCCAGTCAAGTTAGCGGTTCCAGGGTCGGCTACGACCCCGGAAGCCGGCGATGCTTCAGCTGAATGTTCACCCGGGGGTAAAGGAGACAATGGCCCTTCTACGTCTGAACGTGTGAGTAGTAGGGATCTAGAGGTCAAGGAAATCATCGTGGTTACGGCAGCGAGAGACCTAGAGACCATTATGCCAGCTTTGGCGCAAGGGGAAGTTGCATCAACTCGACGCCGGCAGGGATTATCTGGTGAATCAGCCCTGGAAAAGCAGCTTGTCCCGAGCCCGGTTTCTGAGGAATCGCCGACAACTAAAGACTGCCGGCTATACCCAGGGCTTGAATAATCAAGACTGGCAGTCACTTTCTGCACCGCTTTGACGCATACTAAAACGAGAGTCTTTGAAAAGATGCAAGATGGGAAGCAGATGAGTTGAGAAAACGGATAACCAAAGGAGCGCACACACACACACACACAAAACAAAAACCGACAACAACGACGGACAGCATTTATAGCGAGCGTGGATCGTATTGACCACAGCTTGAGGACATAATGTGGAAATCAGATGGATATAAAGCCCTGGGTCAGAGAATCGGGAACTCTGAAGGATATAGTACATAGGAAGCAATAAATGGTTACCAGTAACTCACACTTGACCTCAGTGGCACCCCCTCTCCAGCCTCTTCCCTACCGTCCAACATCCTCGCAGTCGATTCCACCGTGAGTCTCCTAGCATCGCATACCACGCTCATTTTCACGTCTTCCTGTCACCCAGCGGAGGCATGTTGGTACACATTCTATTCCTCATATACAACGTACAACGGCCGTCAGTGGCCCGCCTCCCAACGCCCGACGGTTGCCGTCTATGCCCCGTTCTTCACTAGTCCCGTGACAGTCTCCTCGATTTGCTTATCCGACAACCCCTCCAGCGACTGTGACTTTTCATGACCAAACTCTGTGACTCGTTAGCCATCCAAAGAAGAACGTGGGTCCCGTCCGGGACGCACCGTATCTGGCGTAGACCTTGGGCAGCGTCCCTTGCGCCTCGCGGATGAGGATCGGGATCTGGGGATTGTTCTTCTTCATGGTGGGGTAGGCGCGCGTGAGGAACGACCTGTCGCCGTGTCTCGTCAGCACTCTCGTCTCTGCAGCTGGCCAAGGATGCCGCCTCAATGGATCCGGGCAATTGGTGCTCTCGTGGCATGTTTCCTCGGCTCGATCTCTGTGCGTCGTACGTACCGCACGGCAGCGCTCTGCTCCGACGTCTGGCAGAACAGAAAGCGCACCTCCTTGAGGGCCTTTGTGAATGCGTATCTACTCGACATGGCGGTCGGGGAGGGGCTCGTGATGAATGACAGTGGGCAAGATGGGGAAGCAAGATCCAATGCTGTCGACGGCCCCCCAAGCTCTTTAGATGGTGGTCGTTTTCAGGAACGCTCTGGTTGGCCGTGGACATACCAAGTGGGGATCCTCTGCTGAAGCAAGCAACCCGCCCTACCGCCCGGGGCCGGTCTCGCACCTCGACTTACCCGGCTGATCTCCGGACCCTCCGTCACCAGCGCCCCCCCAGGCGAACTTGTCGCCAGGAGTTTCCCGCCCGTCACCGGGAAAAAGACCCATCAGCTCGAACCTCTCTTCTTGTAAACCTCCCGTGTCGCCCTGCCGCAACAATTATTTGCCCTGTTTGCGCGAAGACAACTACCGAGTCCAAGGCCCTCAAGTACGTCACTCCACCACAATACCCTCCATCCCCTCCGTTACTGTTTTCAACCCCCTCGTACCTGGGAATTTTTTTGTTGAGCAACACGGTCACCTTGCCCCAAAGAAACAACAGCCGACTGACAACCCCGTCCATCACAGGATGGTCGTCGCCAGCACAATCATGCGCGCCTCGCGCCCGGCCCTCCGACAGGGCGCCTTCTCCGCACAGGCATCCCAGGCCTTTCGCGCCCAGCGATTCCGCTTCCGCGAGAGCGGCAAGAGATGGCAGAGCACGGCCGACGGCGCCCAGCAGCAGCAGCACCAGAGCTGGTTCAAGCGCGCGTGGGAGAGCGAGGTGGGCATCAAGACGGTGCACTTCTGGTATGATTTCCCTCTCACACCCCCCTACGTTTGGCGCCCAAGCTAACACCATGGTCGCCCAGGGCTCCCGTCATGAAGGTCCGCTGCGCAAAACGTCCCCCCTTGCAAACCCAGATGGAAAAAGATAACTAACAAAGAGTGGCAGTGGGCTCTCGTGCTCGCCGGCGTCTCCGACTTTGCCCGCCCTGCTGAGAAGCTCTCCTTCACGCAGAACTTTGCCCTGACGTGTACTGGTCTGATCTGGACCCGGTGGTGCTTGATCATCAAGCCCAAGAACTACCTGTATGCACCCACCACCCCCCCGGACACTTCCACTATTCCATCATGTGGAAAAAAAAAAAGAAACCATGAGTAACCGATTTCTTTCTTCTTCTTTAGCCTTGCTGCCGTCAACTTCTTCCTCGGTCTCGTCGGTATTGTCCAAGTCTCCCGCATCGCCATGTACGAATCCGCCAAGAAAAAGGGCCTCGCCGGGGTCGTCGAGGATGTCAAGAAGGACGTCAAGGACCAGGTGAAGGCCTAAGCTACCCTTGCGATCTTGAACAACAAACGACGAAAAATAAAGCCTTCAAAACTAGCATTCTCTCATGTATCTATACTTGGAAGGGAATCGTTTTCTTTCCCGTCGGGGGAAAGCGCAGATTTTGCATTCACGCAGCTAGATGGGAAACGTGGCACAACGCAGATGGCCGACAGGAGAAGAAGACCAAAAAAAAAAAGGGGGGGGGGGGGGGGGGGGGGGGTGGGCGCTCGCACTTGGCATTATCGCAAACTCTGGGGTCAAGACTAGATGATGGCTTGATACGGACACACTAGACGCGTACATGAAGGATTGTTATGTACAGTATTGGGCATTTAGTTGAATGACGCGAATGCGAATTGTGCAGCCTTCACTGGATGTGGGTGACCAAGGGGGCCTGTTTTGATTCATATTTATTCCAAGCATGCTCATATTACGTATAACTTGGGTGAGGGGCGGAGGCAAAAAAAAAAAAAGAAAAGAGTTCTGTTCTGCATGTGCTTGAGAAAGTACTGGTATCAGACTTCTCAAGCGGGTATAAAACTGCCTACTGGTAGGTGCAAAAGTTTTGTACAACAAGCCCACGACCAGCAAAGCCGGCACCAACACGGAGAACACAGAAACGTCTTAATCAAAAAATCCTTTATGCACCCACATGATATCTGACTCCCCCTCAAAAAGTGACAACCGCCAGGCGCCTTACAAAAAAAGAGGATGAACAGGGAACCTTTTCCTTATTCATAAACGTAGCAAAATAAAAAACAAAATTCAAAAAGTCCATGCATAAATCATCATTTGAGATGACTGCCATTCCGATTGCTTCTCTACAATTTCCCAAAGTTGTCAGCAATGTCGTTAGTGATTGAGCGTGACCAAGCCGCTTCGCTGTGCTATCGTCTCCGTAAATCATCAACGCTTTCCAGAAGTCTCTGAAAGACCTGCTTCCTATGTACAAAACATAGGCTTCGTTTCTCTAAACATACGAATAATAAATGCCGCGTCATGGCAATCGCAATGAATCAATCGTTGGGCAAGATAAAATTAACTTTCAGAGTGGCCGTCATTAAGAAGCAATTCCAAGACAATTTGTCGACCGGGTAGCTCTGGATGACACATTGCAATCTTGACAGAGCCCTTGGACGTATCGCCAGCCAGTAGTGACTGTCCATTGGGTCCGTATGTTTGCTGTGACTGAGCTGCATTACCGCCAGTCGGACCACCGAGGCCAAAGTCGATGACTCGGACATCCCGTCCGGCAATAATCTGTCGAAGCCGACCATTCCCTGCGTTGCGCACCTCCACGTAGTCTTCGTTAAATAGTAAAAGATATTGCTTATACATGGTCGCCCCTTTCGCCTTCTTTTGCTTGCCAGTATACTCCATGATAAGAGTGCGACTGACGTCACCATGCTTATCTACGTAAACAGCACAGTCTTCATACGTAACAATGAACTCGCTTGAATCCAGGCGAAACATGCCGAGTGGTCGTTGTTCCCGAATACGACCTGCGATATTGGCAATTGCTGGTGCCTTCAAGTCGGGAATTGACATTGGCTGCTTCCTGTCCAGTGTAAGCATTTCGACACCCTTGGACGTTGCGACAGCGATATAAGTCTGAAATATGCTGAGTGAATAGCAATCGGTTGGCAAGTAGAACTCATCAAAGTCGCGGAAGGTATCGGTGCTGCCACCAGCCGACTTGCGGCCGCCGAAAAGCCGAGACTTCTTCTCAGTTGCCTTGTGAAAGATTGGTTCTAGAACTTTGAAGGATGTGTGCAGGCCCTCCTTCCGCTTGTAAAAGACTAGCAATCGGTCCTTCATACGTGCTGTCGCAAAATACGTCACATCCTTTGCAAGTCGTAGAGGTGCGGTTCGGGTATTGTCGTTGACTGGTGCCGCAAATTCTGACACAGGGGCTATGGCCTCCAAGGGGTAGCAAATAAGTGACTTGTCTGCAATAATGAGACAAACCGAAAACTCCTCAAGCACAGCAATTTGGGTAACCCGAGTAGTTTGCACAGACTGAAAGTTGGTAGTTAGCTGAAGCTGTTTCTGGGGCCAAAGACATGAATCAAACGGTAGGCTTACCCGAGTCCACCCGCGAGGATTAGAAGAATCAGATATATACACGCCGTAATCTGTACCGATAGCAATGAGTGACTTTCCGAAGGCTGAGAACCCTGTGGCACAGTTCACCTGTGCACGGCACACTGCCGCGGTGCCCTGTGCCGAGCCCAAGACCTTGTCCAAGTCCTGGATAGCTCTGTCGAGGGGGGTACCTTTGACCGGAACACCCGATGCTCTTGCGTACATGGAACCGGTGTCGTAATGGAAGGCAGCATCCGCTAACACGCGGAGCCTGAACGGTTCGGCATTCTGAGCATACAAGGCCTTGGCGTGCCTCGTCTTGGCCTCGATAATGCTATTGCACCAGTCAAGTCTGTCCCGGGCAGAGGATGCGTAGAGAGTGTACACTTCATGGCCAAGATGTTTCACCTTGAAAGGGTACAAAATTTTGCTTTCGTTATCGTTTGACGTGGTAGGTGCCAATGAAGTTCCTGATGATCCTGTAGGTGTATGCTCCAACCCGGGTCGGCCAGCACCATTAGTGGCTACCTTATTCAGTTGAGCGCCTACTGGAGCGGCAGTGGCTCTGCCGAGAGGTGCAGTTAGGCCTTTTTGCTTCATGACTGGCTCATCGTTCATACTCTCAAGGAACAGGAGGGGCATTGGGATAGGCTGGGGTTTACGGTTAGTGTTAGGACCTCCCGCATGAACATATTTCTGTAGACCTTACCTCTCTCGAGACATCGTACTTCCTTTCCCCCTTGCCGTCCTTGGGCACGACGACCTTGGCAAGGATCAAATAATGGTCAAATAAAAGGGCATGGGAGTCGACCCATCTCATGCCTTTCGAACCCATCCTTTGGAGCTCGCCCTGCATGATTAGAACTCTGCCCAGGTGGTCTAGATTTAGGACAGATTGGAAGCCTGGTCTGAGAACCAGCATTCGATCCAATTCCATCATCTGAACCCTCTTGTTGGTTTCTGCTACCTTGGCATCGCATTCAAGGGTGACGGTTTGAATCTCCTGGATCGCTTTTTGCAAGTTTGTCTTTTCTTCGCTGTCCCCGATCATTTTGTGCTCGACACTCTGGAGCAACAGGATGTAGCGCTGAAGACGTTGTACAGGGGTAATCAAAAAATGAGTCCAATCCTGCTTGGCGGACAGCTTGTCCTTCTGCTTATCTTCGAGGAATCGCTTGAAGAGCAAATTTCGATCGGCTTCTTTTCTGACCATGTAGGCAGCTCGCGGGTAGCCAATGGCATACTCGGTATAAACGCATTTGGCCTTCCGGACCCATTCACGGAATAAGTCGCTGAAGCCTGAGATCCAAGGACCCTGTTCTTGCTGACGATATTTGAGCTGTGCCAGGAGATGATCTTTGTTGATATGAACAACGGTATCGAGCATTCCGAACACTGCTGTCAAGAACTTATCTCGCTTGTCGGGATGGATGATGGGTGGGGCCCTTGTTCTCAGGTCATCTCTGTATAACCTTCGGAAAATGTCGAGTTGCTTGATGTAATTCTCTTCGCCTGTGACAATTTCATGAAGAATGTTTTGGCGTTCGACTTCCTTTTTTGGTTTCGAATCAACAACTTCCTTTGTCAATTTATAAAAAGTATGCCATGCATCAGCACCCTGCACTTCTTCTGAGAGGACCTCCAAATCAACCTTCTTCAGAGTTCGAGTACAGTAATGAGAATAGCAACGGCCACTCATCTCAACATCGTGAAGCTTAGGTGCGTAGCAGCCCGATCCCGTCAACTGCCATAGGACACCCGAAATGTGGCCGTCGCCAAACTTGACCCATTCCTCATCTGGAAGAAGAACTTGAGACTCGAGCATACCGGATACTACCTGACTGCTCAAAGCTTCAGCGTCCGCGACGTTTATGGTGGGTATCTTGTATACGAAGAGATTCGTTACAGCCTCTTCGATAGCTTTCTCTTTTAGATCCGGTTCGCCTTCGCCCATGTTGCGAATCCATGCCTCAATATGACTTGATGCCCATGGCGCTTTACAGTCGTTGAAATCGCTAGATGTGAGCTTCGATGGCACTAATCTTCTCTTCCGTCCGCTAGGCAAAGTGATACTATCGAAAGCGCCGGATGCAGCCACGGATGCCCTATCATAGTCGAGAGCTGGACTTTGTTGTGTGATCTGGTGATTGCGATTCATCTTCTTTCGTTCTTCAGCAGCATCCGTTCTCGACCTTGCAGGAGCCTGGATCTGCGGCGTATGGCTATGGCTACGGCCACCCAGAGATACTGATCGTTCTGGATGCAGCGTCTGTTGACCCCCATGTTGATAAAAGATTTCAGGGCCATCGGCCTGATAGTATCTCGCATCAGCATTGATGGAATGAGCATGTTGATGTTGCGACCGGGCACTGTTATGAACAGAGAGCATAGAGCTGCTATCAGAGCCGGGACCAGGAGGCAGAGCAGGGAGCGGACGATTCGAAAGACCAGGGTGATAGAATAGATCTTGGTAATCGTCCCTGGTGGGCGATTCGGTTCCACTGTGTTGGGAATGAATGGAAACGTGTTCTTCCCCACCCTCGTCGAAGCTGAGCCTGTGAGCTTCTGGGACTTGCAGCCCGCCTGTCCCTCCATAGTCCATCTCAGCATTGTTAAAGGCAGCAGCATGGTCGTAACTCTCCCTGAGAGAGCTGAAATATCCCGGCGTTGGCAATGGCCTAGGTCCATTTTGCATCGAAGAGGATCCAGGTGGGGAACCAATGTCTGCACCATAGGCCAAGGTCCCAGCATACCCTCCACTCAGCATGCCAATATCCATACCGCCAAAGTCGCTATCACTACTGTGATTCAGTTCCTCTGCGGGAGGGGCTGGCAGGCTGGATTGGATAGTCGTAGTGGGAGCAGGCATTGTAGCTGGAAGTGGAGCAGCTGGGGCAAGACCCGTGCCGCTATACATGAATGTACCGCCACCAAATCGCTGGTCATCGAGCTCCGCCTGTTGCATTGCTAGCACACCGGCTGTTCCCTCTGGGTCATCGTCGTCGTCGTCGTCGTCGTCATCGTCGTCAAACCGCAGTTGACTTGATCCCCGGCCGGGAGAGGTTCGGCTCCCCGGAGAATGTGCCGACGCCGAGCTGTAACCTCTGAGTCTCTGGGTTTGGTCATCGAAGGCTTGGCTACCAATGGGTGACGGCCTACGTTGGGAGCGATATACAGAGCCGCCGAGCTCCGCCTCTATGTCTTGCATAATGGTCTCTTGGGTGATTCTTTCCTCGTCCACATCATCAGGGGGCAGGGGACGTCCATGTTCGTCCCAAAGCGTCGTCTCTTCGGGAACGTCTTCCATTGGCCGACTCGGAAGTGGTGCATTGGTGGGGTGTCGTTGAAGTCCAGGAGATGACTGAGGTTGCATGTAGGGGGAAGTCCTGGGAGAGGACTGGGAATCTGAGGGATGGTGGGTATAGTAAGAGTGCTGGTCATTGCTGGCTGTGTAGTTTGGGCCTACTGGAATGTGAGATGAGTTGGGATAAGGAACCTGGGTCTGAGATGCTGAAGTCTGATAGGGAGCAACACCATTGGAGCCATAAGAAGCATATTGAGTGGACGAGTGGTAATTTGACGGGTCGTACGTCGGTGTTTGACTCATAGAGTTGGAACCAGTAAAGGATGAAGGACTGGTTGGAAAAGACTGTTGGAAGCTGGATGAAAAGGAAGGAGAGCGCAAAGGTTGCGAAAACGTCGACGTGTGCGATGCACTTGGAGAGTGTCCGTATGATGGCGAGCCTGCTGTTCCCACGCCTGCCGCGTAGCCTTGATCATGTGCAGCATGTCCATATCCATGATGAGACGCTTGCCTTTGAGGGACGGAGTTTGTAGCGGCATATGCGGCAGGATTGTAAGCTTGAGGAGTGTAGGTTGTAGTTGGTGGAGATGGAGTGTGGTATGAACCAGCGCTCGAAGTCGAGAACCGCTGTGCCGAATGATATGGCAGCGTCGAGGCCTGCGATCTGTGATAAGCGGAATTTGAGGAGGGCGAGAAACTCTGAGGATTATATCCTGACTGCGACGGTGTCGGAGGGGTCGTATCTTGATATTGGTGTTGATAGCCGGCCATGGCACTGCTGGTGGAAGCATAGCGATTGACGGGTGGATTGCCGCCACGGCCAACAGGGCCCGTCAAGAACAGCTCGTCTTCGCCACGGCTGAAGGAAGCGGTCCGGCTATGGTTCTGAGTGTAGTATCCAGCATCGTCGCCGGTGTTGAAGCTCGGTCTTCGGCCTACACCTGATGCACTTGCGGCCTGATGAGTGCCGTGTTGATCCTGTTGTTGTTGGCTAGCTACAGCATACTGCACCGGAGGGACAGAGCCATAACGGCGCTGGTCGTCGCCGCGAAAGGACATGGCGACAACAAGCCAAGTCGAGGCACCGACAGCAGACGCTGCTGCGGTTAGGGGGAAAGGATGCTGTCGATTCTGGGGATGGTAGAGTTTGTCGCACACATGCACGGGCGCCCGAAGCGTCGAGGAGGTGGTGGTGGTGTTGTTGTAGTGGTGTTGTGGTGTCGTGGGACGGCTGAACCCCGCGGGTCAATGTTGTCGCGCCGCGCCGCCGAGAGCGAGGAAACGAGAGAAGTCGGTGCTTGGTATTGGCCGCCAAGAGCCGCATCGGATTTGGACTCGACTCTGCGGAGACGCATGGGTCAATTGATTGCTTGATTGTGGGCGCCCACGATTTGGATGCTTACAGATTATTCGTGCGCTGTGGTCTCTGGTCGACGAAGCTCTTTGCCTGATGAACTCGAGCGGGGGCAGGAAGGTCCAGCCCTTGCCACGTCAAGAAGCGACATTGAAGGGTTCAAGCCGGGTTCCAAGCTGCGATTTGGCCTTCTGTGACTTGTGGCAGATGGGAAACACAGTGGGAACCCCCGAGCTTGGTTTTCTTACTCCGTGAAGCCAAGCCATGCCAAGTGGCTGTGCGGCTCGCCCGTCTCCAGCTCCAACAAAGGACTTTTCTGCAATGTAGACAGGGCTGAAGCAAGCGAGGTACCAGACTTGCTTGTATGGGGCCGATTTGGTTGTGGCTGAGCAAGTGGCCAGACGCTGGATGACACTTTTTTAACGGATGGGCATACGTATTCAAATCGGGGACCTTGGAACGCTGAGGCTGAGAGCTGCGGCGATGTACCAGTCGACTCTGGGAAAGCCTCAACACCGAGATGCCATCCATGTTGAAGCTCATCACTTGTTTGCACACATGATGTCGAAGCATTTCTGATTTCCCGAAGTCCGTAGCACTGGGTAAATGGTTTGGCTATACAGAGTACTACAGTATTTCCAGACCTTTTCTACGATCGTAGTAATGTCGAGCATAAATGCAGCACAAAATATGTGCGGCGTCCCGGCCCTCAATGTTGCCAATTGAACAGAACCACGACGTCGCCGCCACAAGAGGCTCGGAGGCCTGCGGATACTGGGCTGGTACTTAGGTTGCTTCGGCATGACTATTGACGACCGTCGCTGAAACTCTCCAGTCGCACCTTCCAGTCTCGTCTACTGCGCGCTGCTCATCAACCAACCAGAGTCTGCCGAGCAACAAACGTCTGTCCTCTTCTTTGAGTCACTCTATTCTGGGCCAATTTACTCATCATTGCTTAACTGTGACTATTACATGCCGTACGGATCGTACGCTTGACTAGGTGCATGCCGCATGGACGCCATATCACCAACAACGATGTTTTGTCTCGTTGTCAGGGGCTCTTCTAACAGCCAACAGTTTCACGGGAGTTCACCCACCAGTATGACATTGAAACAGATAATTCAAACTGTTGACAGTGACAGATATTCTCCGAGGCTTCGCCATTTGTCATTTGTCATTGCAATGTTGCATAATGAACAGCGTCGAGCCAGGACCATTGTTTCCACGAGCCTCGACTCGGCCGGAAGACGGCATTAGCTGTCTGTTGTCCCTGGCGTACATGGAGGAAGAAAAACAGGGTCTGAAACATGGCCTACGACGTCTACATTGACTGTCAAATTCGCCAAAAGGAAGAAGAAGAAGAAGGACAAGTGGAAGAACGCTCTCTGGGCCGGTTAAGCTGCTGATTCATATTCAGATCTCGAAATACAGGGCCAGCCGAGCTTGAACATGGTCGCTTTTGCCCTGAGTAGCTAGCGTCGCCAATCCATTTATGGTTGGGTTATGCCTCTTCACCTGATCTTGCGTACGTGGCTAATTTTGCGTTAATTTTGTCCTTCAAGTACGTTTCTTTTCTGGTATCACGTTCCGTATTATATTGCTGTTTCTGTGATTGCTTTGCTACTTTCCTGATGACATCGTTCAGCCTTACCGCCGACCATTTCGGAGTTTCGCACTTCCAGATTTCGTCATATCTGCCTCGCCATGGAACAATGTTGTCATACCCGGCTGAGGCTCAACTACTTATGGCCTCAAACACAGCCTCGATAGACTTGGAAGAAATTACTCCGTGGCTGGCTTTCATGCTGCAATGCCATCAATCTCCTGTTCACATCAATGATTCGAACAAATTGGTAGCTAGGGTCGCCGCGGTGGGAGTAGCAACTGAGGTACCATACATCAACCACAAGTCTTTATTGTCTGTTAGCCTTAAGCAATTAACGTCATTCAGCATGTTGAAAGTGAAGGTAAGGTGAGCTTACATTTGCAACCCCATCGACTTTTGTCTTTGCCCAACACTACCTATGTATACTTGCGTCCGCAGCAGGATGGCACCGTGAATCCGGCCATATAAGTTCTGCGTCCGGCCTTATCGGCCAGTTGGACAAATCCCGGATCGCCCGAACCGGCAATAGTAATTTCTGCCGGCAAGAAATTGCTCACTAGTTTTGTCGATAAAGGCAAAGCCCCAGGAAAGGGCAATGTGTATTGCTCAGATACATGGCGAGCGTGTCGAGGGCCAATATTATTCGGCAGATCGACCCAGGCCACCTGTAAACGACCGGGGTACATCTCACAATAAAAAGCTGACATGTAGAGAGTATGATCTTTTTTTCCAAAATCGTCAAAGTTGAAAACTATCTGCAATTTTCCCCATGAGGGCGAGAGCGATAAGTGTGTTTTATTTCCATGCATCCTAACAAACACAAAGCCGCTAGCAAGAAAGAAAGAAATCAAGACGAAAAGAAGTCACCCTACTCCACGATAGAACATCTCTTGTAAGAGACGTGCTCTACGTTCCTTTTGGCAGCAGGCAAGTCGGTGTCCTTGCACTACCACGCCAAGGTCTTCTTTAGCAACCAAAACTCCCCGCGCTTCGACCACCAATGGAAAGATATCCGAACTGGCTACAGCGTAACAAGTTCGAAATCATCGTGAATCGTGGTGTGAAATTGCGCTTCACATGGGCATCATTTTCCGTCTAGTGTCGCCAGCTGCCAGCCTTGACGGTTGTAATGAAGAGCGGTATGTAGCCGCAAGTTAAACAACAACGCGATCAGTTGAGGCGCAACACTGGCCCATCGACTGACTCGTTGTCAAACTAATAATATGACGCCCTTGAATATACAAAATGCAATGCCGAGCTAAGCTAACCTAGTCTTCAACCAACACTCTCAACAGAGCGACCTGATCCCGGTAGGGAAGCTAGTGTCTGACCAACGGGTATTTTGGCCCCCAAATCCACTGTTCACAACATACAACCATGGATTGGAGGTGACTGGAGCTTGATTCATTCTAAGCTATAGCTACAATGTCCAAACTCCGCAAGTAATACTAATCTTGGGGCCCAGTTTACAACGCAGTCGGAACTGGGTCGTACGCGTCGCACAAATAGAAGACACTCATCGGATGTCTCAACGAAAATAGTTTGAGAAGCCTTTATCATAAAGAAACGGCCTAGTTGATAATATATGTGCTAGCCCATGCTATGTTGGAATCTGGCTTTAATATCTTTTCAGAGGAATACATGCAATGCCAGATACCACAACTTTTTGTTAGCAGACCCTCTCTCGAGATTAGTAGGCCGTCCAACAGCCAAAGTGAGTTAATCATGCTGCGCTAATATCGGGAGTCCAGCAGCCTTCAGGTCCGTATTGACTTCTTCCAAGTGATCCAAAAAATGGGCCTTCAAACTATCCCATTGATGGGGGTCACTCGTATGAAGGCACTTGGACCCGTCGCCACGTGTCGCCCATTTGGTAAGCAATACTGGCACGCTGATATGAAACATGAACGCCATCGTATCCTCACAGATAATCACATTCTCCAGCTCGCGATTGGTGGCATCTTTCCACGTATCATACGTTTCGCCATGGGGCATGTAGCTCGCTTCGTAGCTAAGGCCGCCACCATCCAAGACATGACTAGATCCACCATATTTTCCATAAATCAAACCCATAATCTCAGTGCTCATATTTCGGTGATAGTATGGCGGCCGAAAGGTATCTTCCGCCGTGATCCATTTCTTTGTGAAAACTAGGAAGTCACTGAGTGATACACCGGGTACTTTGGATTTGGCTGTTAAGACACAGTAAATTGTCGGGTCGGCTTGATCTTTGTTTGCATTTGCCATGTTGACAAACTTCTCCATGGCATATTTATAGGGAACCAAATTGCCGTGCCATGCCACAACATCGAATGGAGAATGGTTTTGCTTGCAATTATGCAAGGTGCCCGCCAGCTTGTACGTAACCGTCCATAGCGTGTCATCAATGTCGAAACTAGCAACTGGAGACTCAAAATCTCTCGGGAGTGCTAGACCATTGGAGCCAACAACACCGAGTTCCGGAAGCTCGTAATGTGTGCCGAAGACCTCTTGTATATAGCCTCTTACCGGTCCATCTGGAAGAAGAACACGAAATCGAATTCCGGCTGGAATTACCACTACTTCTCCAGGACGCGCCATGACCCAGCCCAGTTCGGTTTGTATATTTAGTCTGCCGTGTTGAGGCAAAATTAGAAATTCGCCGTCGTTGTTGGAGAATGCCGAGTGTTCCATTGAGATATTCGCTGAGAAAACATGGACCGCGACACCCTCTCTAAGGGTGGGATCTCCTTGGCCGCCAATGGTCTTGATACCCTGAATAAATTCTGTGCCAACAGATGATGATCCATGCGCAATAGGCTCTAGGATGGGAAATGGATCCCACGCCTGCTGTGATGCGACAAACTCCACGTTGTGGTTCGATGGCGAGAAGCAAGATTCGATCTGCCACATCTTGTTAGGTTTGCTCCGACCATCTCTTGAGAAACTCACATTAGCATTCAGATTAAGATCTGGGGAAACGCGGCCATGAGCCACAGACGGCCGCATCCTGTACATCCATACATGTCGGATCGCATCTCTAGAGCTCAATACGGGAGCCCCATTCAACTGCTCTGAATATAAACCATACTTTACTCGCTGAGGAACATTTTGTCCTTTGGGCAATACATTAGGCACAGCTTCTGATGCAAAGCGGTTCCCAAATCCAATCTGGTACGAGTAAGGATCTGCTTCAGAAGGGTTTGTCAAGAACGCCGCTTTAGCTGTGGCCGTCATCTTGCTGGCCGTCATCTTGCTGGCCGTCATCTTGCTGGCCGTCATCTTGCTGGCCGTCATCTTGCTGGCCGTCATTTTGCTGGCCGCCATATTCGCCGTG